GGGGTGGGGGTGGGCGGGCGTTGCGATGCGTTTGTGCCCGCATGCCCGCTTCCAGTGCTTCGGGCACCAGAAACCAGGAGGCATGTGAGCCTGTGGCAGGCGGTGGCGACGCCTAGGTTCCGCGTGAGTCCTGACGCACTGGGTGCCACCTTGAACGCATGCGCGCCGCACAGCACAGCTGCGACCGAACCGTCAGCCAGCGGCGCCGGTGCAAGGGCTGCCACTCAAATCCAGACCCCCCCGGATGCCGACCCGCTGGGCAGCGATTTAAGTGAGCGGCGGCGACGGCGTGGCGCATGACATGGTGCATGTCAGCGACACGAGCCCGCTCTCCCAGAATACAGGCCAAGCATGCGAGCAGCACCGGCGTGAAAGGCATGCTCACCCGTCGCCTACAGCCCCGCCAAGCCTCGCTGCACACGCAGCTGGGCGGGGTTTGATCGCCGCGGACCTCTTCTCCGCACGCAACCCCAGAATACTTGTATCGTGATGGTGCCTTCGAGCCGCTAGCAGAGCTCGCAACGCCAGCTCACAAAGCACGCATCGCACTTGCCCGTTCTGCTGCTGCTATAGGCGTGGGGGCCGCATGAGACATCGCAGTCAAGAGGTACGCTTAACAACTTTGCCAAACACCGATACAAGACACAGGTCACCACACCGCGAAGCCTTGACACACCCGGGAGAGTGTGTCTAACAGTCGAGCAGAGGGAGAAGGCAGGGACGGTGTAGATCGTCTTACAGTGCTTAGACACATACAGCAGCGTTTAGGGGTACGCAGATCAAGCCGCAGCGCACCGCTCGCTCGCGCTGCGCTCCGCTGCATGCAGTCAGCTCCGCTGCGGTTGTCTGATCGGCTGCGTAGCTGTGATTTGAACAACGCATAAGTCATGCATGGCTGCCTCATTAGCTATGTCACACGCAGCTGGGGTTAGCAGCCCCCGGCCTCGGTCTGCAACTGGGAGCCCGGCCGCCCGATTGCCCCGCCATCCACCGACTGCGCCGTCGCGCCCCCCTCATACCCAGGCCAGCCCCGCCCGGCCCCGCGCCAGCCGCCATGTTCAATTTTGGCTGGTCACTGCCCCTGGGGTCCTTCCTCGGGATCCCCGTGCGGCTGCACACCACCTTCCTCATCCTGCTGCTCGTCCAGACACTCGCCCAAATCCCAGGCGCGCGCGAGCGCGAGCGCCGCCGCACGCCGCCGGGCCCCACGCGGAGAACGGCAGCGCCGACCCGCACAGCCAAGCCGCACGGCCCTGGGCCCCTTGCCTCCGTCTTGCCCGGGAGACCGCCCATAAAGCGTGGCGTGCCTTGTGGCCCGCGCGACCTGCCGCACCCCCCACCCGCAGTTGGCAATTGGTGGGTTCTTACCTGGTTCCTCGTGACCGGCCCCATCCTGCTGGCCACCGTACTCATCCACGAGATCGGCCACTGCCTCGCGGCGCGCTCCGTCGGCGGCAAGGCCCACGGCATCCTCCTGTGGCCGTTTGGGGGCCTCGCATTCATCCACCACAGCGCCAGCCCTAAGGGTGCGCGCCCCCGCCCCGCCCCGTGCGGCCCTGCCTCGCCACGCCGCGCGGCGACCACACCTGCCGCAGCTGCCCCGGGCCGGCAGCCGCCGCCTGCTTCGTTGCTGCGACTGCAGGACTTGCGTCAGCAGCGGAAGGGCGTGGGTGCGTGGGCGCGCAGGTCGGGGCCTCGCCGCACCTCCACGGGGCCGGCGTGCCGCAGGCTCCGTGGCTTGCGACTGCATGCCCCAGGATCCGGGCCGCAGCATGGCCAGAGCCCTTCCCCACGCTGTGCGCCCCTCATCCACTCCCTCCCCACCCGGCAGCCGACATGTGGGTGGCCGTCGCGGGCCCCCTGACCCACATCCCCATGACTGGCTTCTGGGTGCTCATGAGCCTCGCCGCCACCAAGGTGGCGTATGGCACCGCCTTTGTGACACTCCAGGTGTGACCCTTCCCCTTTCCATGGCCTGCGCCCCACTCACTGCGCGCGAATCCACCTCCAGGCCTCTGGTCCCAGTCCTGCTGGACGCGCAGCGAGCCCGCTTGTGTAGCCGCGCCACTCCCCAAGTTGCATGGCACGCTGCTTTGACACGCGCACCCGCCCATGTCATCCCTGAGCCGCGCCGGATCTATCGCCCACCCTCACACGCTCTGCAGTACCCCTGGCCGGAGCCGCCGTTCCTGGGCGTAACCCTGGTGACGCTGGCGATCTACCTGAACATCGCGATTTTTGCGTTCAACCTCTTTATCCCGGCTTACCCCCTCGACGGCGGTCGCATCTTGGTGGGCCGCCGGGGCGCCGGTGACGGCGTGCGGGGCGCGGGTCGGCGGCGGCGGGGCGGCGGCTCGCCCGGTGGGGCTGTGCCCTGCGGCGTGGGAAGCGGGAAGGGGCTGCTGCTGCGCTCTCGCTGTTGGTGCAGCAAGCCGCGCTTGGTTGGCCCCGTGCTGTGGGTGTTGCATGCGAACACGTGCGCCTGCTCAATCACGCACACTTCTGCAGAGACGGACAGAAAACAGACACGCACACGTACGCGCGCGCGCACATACACACACACACACACGCACACACAAACAAATAAACAAACAAACAAGTCTCACACTTTAGCATGCACGCGCACCCACCCCAGGTGGACTCTCTCTTGTGGTTTGGCGTGCAGCCCGCGCCTGCGGCCAAGATCACCCTCGGGGTCGCGGTGCCCCTGGCACTCGGCATCCTGGTGGTGGGGGCGGTCTTCGTACAGGTGGGCGGGACTTATGAAATTCGAACCGCGCCCCACTTCGCCGTGATGGCGGCTCCAGGGCGCCAGGGGGTGCCACTGTACGCGGAGCCGCGGCGCCGCCTTGACGCCGCCGCGTCCCAGTGGCAGTCCGACGCTTCAAGTGCTGAGAGGAGGAGGGACGCGTTTTTTTTCTGGCAGCCACATGAGCTGCGAGCATCTTGGGTTGGGCGCCGCTCACCCTGAGCCATCACCCCCTCTGCCTGCGCACCATACTCGCCTGCCCAGCCGATGACGATTTTGTCGGCGGCATTCCTGTTTTGGGCCTGCTGGCAGGTGCGATTTTGGGGGTTGGGGTGGCGGGGAATGCGAGGGGTCGAGGGGGTAGGGCGGCGGCGCATCACTGTGATCAAAATGATCCACTCGACGCGTGCTGTTGGTGTGCTGGCCCGCCTGCCAATACACAATGTTATCACGATCGCCAGCACCGACGACGTGCCCGCCCACAAGCCCCGCCCTGGACCCCGCGCCCGCGTCCCGATGCAGCTGTACGACTGCCTGAGGAAGGGCCAGATAGAGCAGCACCCGCTCTTCTCATTCACAGCGTCCCAAAACGCCGCCGCCGCCGCCGCGGCCGGGCGCAACATGGAGGCGGGCCTGACGGGGCCGGCCGCTCCATACGGTGCCTCGCCGTACGGCGGCGCCGTGGGCGGCGGCGCTGCGCCGTATGGCGCCGGGGGCGGCGGCGGAGCGCCGAGCTATCAGTTCTACCCGCCGAACGGCGTGCCCGGCGGCCGCCCAGCGCAGCAGCCGCGCGCTCCCATATTCTAATTGGGATCCAGAGCTGGTTTGCAGCGCAGCGGCTCGCTGGGCGGACGCACCTGGCGACCATGAATCAATCGCCCTCCTGTTTGATGCACCACGCAAATAAAATTTCCAGTCAAGGTACATGGTTTCACATGTTACAGGCCAACCAGGCTTGAATTTGTGCGGTGCGGCTCCGTGCTATTCTGACACAGTACATAAAGTGCTGCGGGCAGGCCCGCCAAGCACGCCGCTCCCCAAGGCAGCCCTACCCGTTTGCATTCATTATTATGTTGTGCCGCGCCGCCAAGATTGTGGTGATTGCTTCCTTAGAAACTTGGTGTGCATCGAAAAGGCTGAGTGGTTGGCCAGGCGATGGGGGCATCGCACACGCCTGCAGCTGCGACCGGGGTGGTGTGTGTCAGTGTGTGTATCGGG